CGAGAACAGAACAACGGTTTTATTGTCGAATAATTCGGATGTGGTTACATCTACCCAAGCATCGCCCTGACGCGTGTGAAACGTGACTTGCGGGACTTTTTTACCTTCCATACTCATAGTTTTTCTCCTGTTTGAATAAATGATTTTCTGTTTACGGGGTGAATTATAATTAGTTTTATGTTATCGTTACAATCAATTAATTTCTATTCATTCAATCGTTTTTTTCTATATTAAGAGTTGCCGTTATTATGAATATCCGTGATTTAGAATATCTTGTTTCGCTCGCCGAATTCAAACACTTCCGCCGCGCCGCGGATGCCTGTAATGTCAGTCAACCCACTTTAAGCGGACAAATCCGAAAATTAGAGGACGAATTAGGCATTACGTTGCTTGAACGTACTAGCCGTAAAGTATTGTTCACGCAATCGGGGTTATTATTGGTGGAACAAGCCAAGCAGGTGTTGCGCGAAGTAAAATTATTGAAAGAAATGGCAAGCAATCAGGGTAAAGATATGACCGGTCCGTTGCATATCGGCGTCATTCCGACCGTCGGTCCTTATTTATTGCCTTATATCATGCCGGTACTCAAAGAAGAATTTCCGGAATTGGAGCTGTTTTTGTATGAAGCGCAAACCAACCAATTAGTGGATCAGCTGGAAACGGGCCGTTTGGACTGTGCGATTTTGGCCGCCGTCGCCGAAACGGAACCTTTCATCCAGGTACCGCTGTTTAACGAAAAAATGCTGGTCGCGGTCTCGGAAACTCATTCCTGGGCGAAAGAAAAAAATATTCCGTTGGATCACTTAAAAGGCATGGAAGTGTTAATGCTGGATGACGGTCATTGTCTGCGGGATCAGGCTTTGGGTTACTGCTTTGCCGCAGGCGCCAGAGAAAACGCCCATTTTCAGGCCACCAGCCTGGAAATGTTACGCAATATGATTGCTGCCAATGCGGGTATCACACTTATGCCTGAACTGGCCGTGTTGAACGAAGGCCAGCGTCAGGGAGTCAAATATATTCCCTGTGTCGATCCGGAACCGCAACGTACCATTACGCTGATTTACCGTCCCGGTTCGCCGTTACGCGCCCGTTACGAACGGGTCGCAAATGCGGTCAAAAAAGCGGTTAAACCGATTTTAGAGGGAGATTAAAATGGCAGGCGTTCGTGCAATTCAAAAAGAAAAAACCCGTCGCGCACTGGTTGACGCCGCATTTAATCAGCTTAATGCGGAGAAAAGTTTTTCCAATCTCAGTCTGCGTGAAGTGGCGCGCGAAGCCAACATCGCCGCCACCTCATTCTACCGCCACTTTAAAGATATGGACGAGCTTGGCCTGGTGATGGTGGATGAAGCGGGGATGACCTTGCGTCAACTAATGCGGCAGGCGCGCAAACGGATTGAAAAAGGCGGCAGTGTGATCGCCATTTCGGTGGAAACCTTTTTTGAATTTATCAATAACAGTCCGAACGTGTTCCGTCTGCTACTACGCGAAAGTTCCGGTACATCGCAGGCATTCCGCACCGCGGCGGCGCGTGAAATTAAACATTTTGCCGACGAACTGGCGGAATATATCTCGAATAAACACGGTTATTCTCAATATATCGCTTATGTTCAGGCGGAAGGCATGGTGACATTGGTGTTTACAGCGGGAGCCAATGCTTTAGATATGAATCCGAAAGAGCGGGAACAGCTGAAAGAACGTCTGATCTTACAGTTGCGCATGCTTGCCAGAGGCGCGGCACACCCGCACTGATGATTGTCTTAGCCGATAAAAAACGATCTTCACAGATCGTTTTTTTACGTCACAAATAAATTAAACGTTGTCGATTTGACCTAATAATGAACGTAAACGTTCCTGCCAGTTATTATGTTCGACTTTCAGTTGTTCGTTTTCATTACGCAATGCGTCATTAGCTTGTTGTGCCTGATCATTTTTTTCTTTTAACTCTTCCACTTCCAACTGAAGTAACTGAATAGTTTCCACCGCCTGGCGGACTTTACTTTCCAATTGATCTAAAATTTCTGATGACATGGTAATTTCCCTTTGATTAAAACAAAATAAAGTGTGGTTATTTTACTCTAGAACTGTACAAATTTGAACGACCGAAACGGAATTTTTTTAAATCCGGAAAGATTTTTTCCGCAATCGTTTGCCGCGGTGATAAAATTAGCTCAATTTCATCAAATCAAAGGGGACAAACAGATGAACCGATCTTTAGCCATTGAATTTTCTCGTATCACCGAAGCCGCTGCGCTTGCCGCTTTTGCCTGGTTAGGACGCGGTGATAAAAATGCCGCCGATAACGCCGCCGTGAAAGCCATGCGTTTTATGCTGAATCAAATTCACATGGACGGCGAAATCGTCATCGGCGAAGGGGAAATCGATCAGGCGCCTATGCTCTACATCGGTGAAAAATTAGGTTCCGGCATGGGCGAAGTGGTTTCCATTGCGGTAGATCCTATCGACGGCACGCGCATGACGGCAATGGGTCAGGCAAATGCTATCGCCGTACTGGCGGCAGGCGGAAAAAACACCTTCCTGCGCGCACCGGATATGTACATGGAAAAATTGGTGGTGGGCCCCGAATTAAACGGCATGATTGATTTAACGCTACCCATCGAACAAAACTGTCGTCGCGCCGCGCAACGTCTGGGTAAATCCGTCACTCAGCTTACCGTTGCCGTGCTGGCCAAACCCCGTCACGAAGAAGTCATTAAACGCATTCAACATTTAGGCGCCCGTGTCATGTGCATTCCCGACGGCGATGTCGCGGCATCGCTGTTATGCTGTTTGCCCGACGGCGGCGTGGATATGCTTTACGGTATCGGCGGTGCGCCCGAAGGCGTGATTTCCGCGGCCGCCGTTCGCGCCTTACACGGCGACATGCAGGCCCGCTTGCTGCCACGTAATCAAGTAAAAGGAGACACGGCGGAAAATCGAAAAATCGCCGAAGACGAAATTCGCCGTTGTCATGAAAACGGCGTAGAAGTCAACACCGTCTTGAAATTAGACGATCTCGCAAAAGATGACAATCTTGTGTTTTCGGCAACGGGCATCACCAACGGCGATTTACTCAAAGGCATTCAACGCAAAGGCAATTTAGCCACCAGCGAAACCTTGCTGATTCGCGGCAAATCCCGCACAATCCGACGCATTCAATCCACTCATTATCTCGATCGCAAAGATGCGGAGATTTATCAGTTAATCGGTGAGTGAGCATAAAAGTGCGGGAAAAAAAACGATAGTTTTTTGAAGGTTGCCGTCGCTAACAAGCTTGATATAAGCGCGGCTGTGCCAAGGTGACAATAAAAAAACGTGCAAAATTTTGACCGCACTTTTACGGATGACAAAAACCAAAAGCCCGGTATGCGAGCCGGGCTTTTGTCGGATTGAATCACATCGCGGCATTATTTCCAAACGGTGCCGTCGGTTTTAGCGCCGTCCAAACGAGCGTTGGTTAAATCCGCGCCTTTCAAATTCGCCCCGGAAAGATCCGCATGCCGTAAATCCGCATTAATCAGCACGGCGTTTTGCAGATTCGCATGACGCAGATTCGCACGCGCTAAATTGGCGTTGGTGAAATCCATGCCGGAGAAATTTTTATTGGACAAATCCTTACCCGCTAATTTCGCATTGATGAAATCCTCGAGTACTCTGCGTTGATACCACTGCTTCTTTGTCATTCGGAATGACCGTGGTTTTTCCGTTAACGGTTTTAATCGTAGCATTTTTAGCCACCGTGTGACGCCCCGGAATATTTTGCTCGGAAACCGCATTCGGCCCGACGGCTTTATTTATGATGGTTCCCTGCACGGAAACGCTTTGTTCGTTATCCGCGGCAAAGGCAACGGTCGACGCCATCAATGTTAAAGCGGCGGTTTGCATTGCTTTAGTTAACATTGTCATATTTTTCTCCCTTATTTATTGATTTTTACGGAATGGCTCGGTTTCAGCAAAAGTAAATTTTCCAACGGATCATCTTCCGTTAAACTGACATTAGGCGTTCCGCCGACAGGTGAAGACGAACCTTTCTCCGTTTTGCCGTCCTGCGCCGGCGTCAGTACGATAGGCGGTGTCGTCACCATATTCGACGTTTCCTGCATCCACAAGCTGTTTAAACTGTTTCCCGACGCATTTTGTTTCGACAGGATAATCGGCAATATTTTACGGGCCTGATCGCTCCCCTGTTGAGCGGCAAGCCGATATAATCGAATAGCTTCGCCGAAATTCTGAGGCACGCCCGCACCTTTGTGGTAACGCGTTGCCAATTCATAACTGGCTTGTCCGTTACCGGCCTGCGATTCCTGCCGTAATTTCTGAAAATGCTCGTTATGGTTTACGCTGACAATCTGTTGAGTTCGATTAGGCGCCGCGGTCAGGCTTTTCTGATTACGCTTCGCCGCATAGCTGCCTAAAGCGATAGCTTTTTCGTTCCAGGCGACGGCATCCGTTGTATTGCCGCGACGATAATACAGATTCGCCAAGGCATTAGCGGCAACGGAATCGCCCATATTCGCCGCTTTCGTTAACAAGCGAAGAGCGGATTGGTTAGAGGGTTGCGGATTGCTACGCTGTTCCAGCAAACCTAATAAGGTGGTCGCCCGCACAAAACCCAAACCATTCGCCCGTTCCAGATAACGCTTCGCTTTAGCGTAGTCCTGTGCAGTGCCGTATCCCATAAACAGGAAATATCCCGTTGCCAGCATGGCGTGCGGGTCATTCATATCGGCATAATGGGAAAAAATATTATAGGCATAGGAATAATTTTCCCGTTTATACGCTTCGAACGCCTGTCCGAGGGCCGTCACTTGATCCGATTCGGCTTCCTCATTCGGTGTCGCCGGCTGAGCCTGAATCGGGACATATTCGTTCGCACCGGCGGCCGGTTGATTAATCACGATAGCCGCCTCACTGCCCATACCGAATGCGGCGACACTCAGCATAAACAGAATGTGATTTAAAGGGAAACGGCAAAAATGCGTCAACATACTCCCTCCTGATTACTTAACCGTGTAAGAAACGGTTTGTGTACCTTTAATTTCATCACCAAAGACTTCTTTCAACTTAGCGGAAAGCTCCGACATACTTTTCACGTCAATCGGATTGAACGGTTCACCGAAGGTCTGGCTCAAACGCGGTGCTAAGGATGAATAGGAAGCCACGCACATGACCGATTCTTTGCCCGCACTGGTTAAATCCAGAGAATAAGCGTTACTGCCCGGCAGATTCAAAGGTTTCCCGGCGGACAGATTTTCTTCCGCCTCTAACGGATTCGGATAGATCTGAGCAATACTGTTGCTCGCATCCTGATAGAAACAGCTTACGTGCGAACCTTCTTTATCGGCGTTAATGGTAAGCGATAGTTTGTCGCCGATTTTGTATTGCGATTTATCGGACGACATATTCAGGCTAATCGGATCGCCTTTATCCGTGTAAAAATACGGATAGCCGTTACGAGGTTCGTTCGAACCGTCTTCATCTTTTTTACCGGAAGGCTGTAACCCCGCTTTTTTGATATTACCGCTACCGTCAACCCTTGTGTAGTTTTTCATCATTCGTTCATAACTTTCAAAGTTAATCACGCCGGACGGTGTGGCATTGTTGTCTTTTTGGAACAAGGTCAGCGCTTCTTTAAATGCCGTTGTCGGCGTGCCGTCTACAGGGCCGTTGTAATAACCGAGATTACGTAATCCGGTTTGGAATAACTTCACTTTTTCAGTTTCGCCCATACCTTCAAACCAATCCAACAACTGGCGTTGGAATTCCGGATGAGACTGATCTAAGGATAAACATTGCCAATAAGGCACTTGCGCATATTTACCCACCAATTCAATCATGCCTAAATCCGTTAACGTCCGTACCGCCGAGCCGACGCCCTGAGACAAATTTCGCTCAAAGGAGAACTGAACGCCCACTTTACGGATTTTTGCTCCGGAATCGAATCCGAAACCTTTGTTGGCGGCGACAATTTCATTTGCCGAATCAATACCCGGATATAAAGTTCGGGTTAAAAAATCCCCCACATGTAATTCCATACCCAGCGCCGTGGTGATTAAATCGCCGGAAAGACCAAGTTCTACGTCATCACTTACCGAAATTCCCGCGCTGTCGGATTTTTTCAACACGCTTTGGTCAACATAAGAAACGGAACCTGAAATATAAATTTGCGGGGCGGGAATCTGCATGCTGCCGGTTGGTAAAAGTAAACTGGAAAGAGTTTGTACCGTGTCCTGCTTCATCGGATTGATTTCAAAATCCACCACTCTGAACGCTCCGCTGGTACGAGACATCTGTGAAAGTGCGGTCACAATCATGTCATTTGCGGCGACTAACGCTTTACCCGACGGATCGTTAATGGTTTTAATGGCGACAACCGTTTGCCCCGCATTACTTTGTAACAATAAATTATCCATACAGCTTAAACTGTCGCTGAAACTGGTCATGGCTCTGACCGGTTCCGACACCGGACGGGTATGGGTGGTAGTAGATTCGATATAAGGTCTGTCGCCGTGTAATTGCGTTCCCGTCGAACAACCAGCTAAAACCGACGCGGCAACATATGAAAGAAACACATGATGAATTTTCACAGAATGATTCCCTTAAGTAAAAATTAAAAAGTTGTAGAATAATGTTTTTATTGGAGAAGATTATTTACAGAGACTGACAACATCGCCTTTGATAATCACGATATTATCGGAATTTTTGCTTGGTCCGTACTTACCGGAACTTACGCCGCTTTTCGTTGTTGTGGTACCAATATTTGTGGTACAACTTCTGGAGCCGATACCGCTCACTGAACTGCCTTCCGTCGTTCTTTCCGTCACCTCTTCGGCGTCATATCCCGCTTTTCCCATTTTTGCCCAGTTCTGAGCCTGTACGGAATGGACTTTTGCTTTATCTAAAGGAGACATCCCTTGTCTTGGCGCAAGTTCCGAAGATGCGGAAAAGGTTGAAGTTGAAAATGAGAATAAGCAGGCAGTACTCTGCGTTGATACCACTGCTTTCATTTTCATGGCAATCTCTCTTTAAGTGAAGGAAATAACCTCGAGAGCAATCGATTGGCTCCCGAGGTTAAATAAGGAAGATTAATCTTCGCTGTTATTAGATGCCATGTTTTGTGTTGCATGACCAACACCCATAGCAAAGTTTGATACGGCGCCCTTAACGTCAACGGATTGTTTGTTGTTACCGCCAATGGTCACTTTACCGTTATTGGATGCTAAGTTTTGAGTCGCTTTACCAGCCCCCATCGCAAAGTTTGATACCGCGCCTTTAACGTCTACGGATTGTTTGTTATTACCGCCGACAGTAACTTTACCGCTATTGGAAGCTAAATTTTGAGTCGCTCTACCGGCACCCATTGCAAAGTTTGATACCGCGCCTTTAACATCTACGGATTGCTGGTTATTACCACCGATAGAAACTTTGGCATTTGCCGTAGCCACCGAAAATACAGCGATAAGTCCGACTGCAAGACCTGTTTTCATTAAATTTTTCATCAAAAACCCCTTATCTGAATAAAATTCAAAAGAAAAAAATTTATATATTGCCTAATGGTCCTCGTAAAGATCAGTATTAATCTTTTACGACAGAACCGATATTAACTTCAGATTTACCGCCGCCGGAGGCTGAATTTACGATAGTACCTACCGATACAACCTGATTGTTGCTACCGGCATAATTTACCGATGAACCCAAGTTAATAGCGGCTTTCCCACCGCCTGAAGCAGTATTAATAAGCGAACCGTTAACCACAACGGTTTGCGTATTGTTCGAACCGACAACCCGACCCACGGTAGAACCGACGTTCACCGAAGCCTTCCCAGCAGAATCAGACTTGTTAATAACACTTCCCGACACAGTGACATTCTGCGTATTGGCGGAAACCGCTGTCACTGCAACAGACAGTGTTATCAGAGCAATAAATTGTCTAATCATGGCATCCTCCTTTTTATGATGCATTTTCAGCCTACTATAGAGATTTCACAAGATCAAATAGCAAAAACCGAAAATGAGCGATAACCCAAAAATATACCGAATTCAGCCACAATATATTTATATGTATATCAAAGGCTTAATACTTATTATTTAGACAGTGCAAAGTTTTGTAAAAGTCTGTAAAATAGCCATTTTCATGGTTGAATATCCATGTTTTTACGGATAAAAAGCATTCATAACAAAAATTTTCCTGCCTGAAAAATTAAAATCTATTACAATACCTATTAGTTTTCACACACAAAAGGACAGCATTATGATTATCGTTACAGGCGGCGCAGGTTTTATCGGCAGTAATATTGTTAAAGCATTAAATGATTTGGGTCGTAAAGATATTTTAGTCGTGGACAATCTGAAAGACGGCACGAAATTTATCAACTTAGTGGATTTAGATATTGCGGATTACTGCGATAAAGAAGATTTCATCGCACAAATTATTGCCGGTGACGATTTCGGTAACGTAAACGCCGTGTTCCATGAAGGCGCCTGTTCTGCCACTACGGAATGGGACGGCAAATACATCATGCACAACAATTACGAATATTCCAAAGAATTGCTGCATTACTGCTTAGATCGCAAAATCCCGTTTTTCTATGCCTCGAGTGCGGCCACTTACGGCGACAAAACGGAATTTGTGGAAGAACGCCAATTTGAAGGTCCGTTAAACGTATACGGTTATTCCAAATTCTTATTCGATCAATATGTGCGCCAGATTTTACCGAACGCCGCCTCACCGGTTTGCGGATTTAAATATTTCAACGTATACGGACCGCGCGAACAGCACAAAGGCAGCATGTCCAGCGTGGCATTTCACTTGAACAACCAAATTCTGAAAGGCGAAAATCCGAAATTATTCGCCGGCAGCGAACACTTCCTGCGCGATTTCGTTTATGTCGCCGATGTTGCCGCCGTAAATATCTGGGCGTGGCAAAATAAGATTTCCGGTATTTTCAACTGCGGCACGGGCCATGCCGAAAGTTTCAAAGCCGTTGCCGAAGCAGTGATCAAACATCACGGTAAAGGCGCCATTGAAACCATTCCGTTCCCGGATCACTTAAAATCACGCTATCAGGAATATACGCAAGCGGATCTCAGCAAATTACGAGCCGCCGGTTGCGATTTAAAATTTAAATCCGTTGCCGAAGGCGTGGCGGAATATATGGCGTGGCTGAATCGCAAATAAGAAACATAAGGTATTGAAATGTCAGAAAAAATTTCAATCATCACCGGTTCCACTTTAGGCGCCGCCGAATATGTGGGCGATCACTTAGGCGATGTGTTACAAGAAAAAGGGTTTGATGTCACCGTACAAAACGCCGTAATTCTGGATGAAGTCATTGACGACAAAATTTGGTTGATTGTGACCTCAACCCACGGCGCCGGCGACTTACCGGACAACCTGAAACCGCTGATGAATCAAATCGCCGAAGAAAAAACCGATTTATCGGGCCGACGGTTCGCTGTGGTGGGATTAGGCAATTCCGATTACGACATCTTTTGTTTCGCGGTGGATAAAGTGGAAAATCTGCTGCTCGCCCAAGGCGCCGTCCGACTTTGCGACGCCCTCCGCATTGATGTGTTAACGGAGGAAAATCACGAACAAGCGGCGGAAAACTGGCTGCCGAATTTCATCGCCGCGCTGTAATTTTACAAAGTTCGATCTCAAAAAGTGCGGGCAAAATTTTAAACGTTTTTTAGCAGCTATTTTTACGTTGTTTTTTATAAAGGCATAGTAGACAAAATGGTTGTTAAAAAGTAGCTTATGATCTTTATAGTACAAGGATTTTAGCCATCTTTTTGAAATATAAACAATCATTCTCTATAAATTAAGCGGTTTCACATACGGCAGCATGCCTTTGTCCAGCATATCCACCAAACCGCTGTGATGATCGTTCGGACCTAAACCGCGTAATTCCACCGTGAAACTCACGCTATTATCATACAGAGTGTCTTTGCTGTCGCTATATTTACGCGTGTCGCTTTCGCTCACCAGGTAACGACGCACACCGACACCGGCGGACCAACAGCAGGTGTTATAACGCACGCCGGCATATTGTTCCACCGGTTTATTCAGGGCGATGTCATGATAATAACGTCCCACTACCGCCCAATTATCGGCAATTTCCCAGGCGACCGTACTGCCCAGCTGTTTGATATCCTGATTGTAACGGTTAACGCCGGAGGTTAAGTTCTGATCGATATATTCCTTACTGGCGTAACGGTAATTCAACTGAATCAGGTTATTACGTTCGGGATTATATTCCAGGCTGGTATTCATTAAGGAAACGGCGTCCAGTCGAGTGTCGTATTGATAACTGCCGCGCCAGTTCCATTGATCGTTAATTTTCCAGTTGCTTTCTAACGCCCATGAAGAGGAACGTCCGGTGGTACTGTGTTCGGAATTTTCATCAATACGGGAATCGTTCAGATAAATAATTTGTCCTAAAGATACGTTAAACCGTTCATTGGCGTTTTCATCGTAGAAACGGCTGGTTCCGCCTAAAGTAAACTGATTGGCGGAAGCAATGCGATCCAAACCGCTGTAACGGCGATCGCGGAACAGAGAAAAATAATCCTGCTGCAACAACGCGGAATCATAACCCAAACCTAAATAATTGGAATAACGTTTGGAACCGATGTTACTTTGATCGCGGTACGGACGATAAAGATATTGCACATGCGGTTCAAGAGTTTGAGTATAGCCTTTGATAAAGGTTTCATTACTTGCCAGCACCGTTTGTAAATCCACTTTAATTTGCGGAATAGTACGATTTACAGATTTCTGAATATTCGCATCCACGCCCGTACCGGCTTTTTGTTGGTAATGGGTGGCATACAATTTGGTTTCAATATTCAGACTGCCGTATTTATTCGCCATCGGAAGGTTTAAACTCGGTTCGACATGATAACGCCATGCCGTCGGCATCGCTTTGCTGTCATTATCAAAATGCACCGCTTGAGCGAATAATTTGAAATCCAACCAACCTTTTGCCAGTCCGTTCTTATAATAATTGAAATCCATTTGCGGTAGCGCTTTGTACGGACCGATATCCACATCATCAAAAATCTGGAATTCTTTGGCCGAAATCGCAAAATTCCAGTTAGGCTGATAGTAAGACAATCGGGCGGATTGCGTAGCGTAACCGTCGGTACTGCTGCCGTAATCGGAGTCAAAATCGGAAAAATAACGTTTATCGCTTACTTTGGTGTAATCGATATTTAATCGCCAATCGTCCCACAAACGGGCATCGTGTTTCCAATAAAACAAATGGCGCGAACGATTTTCACCGGTGTAATCTTCATAACGATCATCGCCTAAATATTCGCCGAAGATTTTCCCTTCGCCCAAAGCGTTTAAATAACGAAATTCACCTAACCATTGCCAGCCGCGTTGCGACATATATTTAGGCGTAATTGTCATGTCATAATTCGGCGCGGTGTTCCAATAAACGGGTTGAGCAAACCAGTAACCGTCACGACTGGAATGACCGGCACTCGGGATCAATAAACCTGATCGACGACGATCGCCGATAGGTAACTGCAAATAAGGCGTATAGAAAACCGGCACGCCCGCAACTTTAAAGCGGGCATGCCACATTTCCGCATATTCTTCTTTTATATGCTGTTTCATTTCGGAAGCGTCAATTTGCCAGGCGTTATCATTCGGCAAACAGGAAGTAAAGGTAGCGTTTTTCAGTAAACGATAATTCTCGCGATTTTCCGAACTTTCCGCCGTTCCGCGGCCTTGTCTTCCCACAAATTGATAATCGGAATTCGCGACGTCCGCATCATTATTATTCAGATTGATTTTGGCGTCTTTACCTTTTAATACGATCAATTCATCCCGATAATCAAAAACACCGTTAGCATAAGCATGACGTAATGCATTCGCGCCTTCACCCGTTTGGGTAACAACCACTTCCGGCGCCTGCAAATGACGATTTCCCTGTTTAATATCCACATCACCGCTATAAGTGGCGCGGGAAGGATTAACAATGTCCGCCTGATCCGCCTCAATATAAACGGGCTGTTCGTTGGCATCACCCGAAACCGGTTCTCCCGTAAACTGAGGCACACCCGACAAACATTGACGATGTAAATCATCGGCGTTCGCCAACGCGCCGCTGCTGTAAAGTGCGGTCAAAATCGCAAAAGAAATAAAGGAATAAGAAGAATGTTTCATAGCTAACCGGTTAAACATAAAAGTGGGTTAATTATACTTGAAGTACCAAAATTTATCACGAAATTTGACCGCACTTTTCATAAAACGTTTACTTTCGATGTCTTTTTTATCACTTTTATCTTGTGGATAACTTAATAAAAAAACGCATAAAAGCTGTATTTTTCCCGTGTATAAAATAACAATTTAATTTAACTGTGGATAAATCACTATGTTATTCACAGGCTTTTTACTGTAAAGATCAAAATTTCTAACAGGATCCTTTTTTATCTAACCGATTTATTTTGCTAACAAAGATCCTTTTATACACAAAGATCAGGTGATCCTAATTATCGTCATAATAAGATCTTTATATAAATTTAAGATCTTATTTTATTAGCAACCGGCTTTTTCTGAGTTTTATCCCGCCTAACGTTTAATTTCAACTTTCAAGCCCGGGTAAATTTCAGTAAAATAGCCCGTTACTTTTATATTTCAATTTATGGATCGGTGAAAGCGATCATATTCATTACATAAGGTTACTATGTTTTATACGGAAAATTATGATGTGATCGTAATCGGCGGCGGTCACGCAGGAACCGAAGCGGCACTTGCTCCGGCCCGAATGGGTTTGAAAACCCTGCTTTTAACGCACAATGTGGATACTTTAGGTCAAATGTCTTGTAATCCGGCTATCGGCGGCATCGGTAAAGGGCATTTAGTGAAAGAGATCGATGCTATGGGCGGTTTAATGGCAACCGCGGCTGATTTGGCGGGCATTCAGTTTCGTACCTTAAACAGCAGTAAAGGACCGGCTGTGCGGGCAACTCGTGCGCAAGCGGATCGCGTGTTATATCGTCAAGCGGTGCGCCAGGCTCTTGAAAATCAACCTAATTTGGATATTTTCCAACAGGAAGCCACGGATATTTTACTGGAACAAAATCGCGCCGCAGGGGTTTCCACCAAAATGGGATTAACCTTTCGGGCTAAGTCTGTCATTTTAACGGCGGGAACTTTTTTAGCCGGCAAAATTCATATCGGTTTAACCAATTATGAAGGCGGACGTGCGGGAGATCCGGCTTCCGTCACACTTTCTCACCGATTACGTGATCTCGGTTTGCGAGTGGATCGTTTAAAAACCGGTACGCCGCCACGTTTGGACGCTCGTACCATTAATTTCGAGATTTTGGCAAAACAGTACGGAGACTCGGAATTACCGGTTTTCTCTTTTATGGGATCGGTGGATCAACATCCGCGCCAGATTCCTTGTTTTATAACTCATACTAATGAACAAACCCATGATGTGATCCGCCATAATCTGGATCGTAGTCCGATGTATACCGGCGTGATTGAAGGGATCGGACCACGAGTACTCTGCGTTGATACCACTGCTT